TTCCAGAATTTCTCCACTGGTAGCCAACATCAAACCAACAAGAAAGTCCACTTACTATATGAATATTTATACATGGGCTTGTGAGACTATTGTTACGCTTCTTCTAAAGAGGCTCTATATCACTTCCACTGGTAGCCAACAGCAATCCAACAAGGCCCACACTTCACGTTACCTCCCACCTTATCGAGGCGAGGCTGCATACGAGGTAGCCGAGGTAATGCATCTCTTCAATCGAGGTGCCATATCAAAGTCAATCTCTATGGCTTAGGCGAAGTGCCATGCGTGCTGCAAGGAAGAAGTGCGAGGCAGCTAACCTCCACATTAATAGAAGGCATCTCCCACCCCCCACATCTTTCCAAGAGATCTTCCATATAGGATCCGTCTACGATTTATTGATGCGGCACCTCTGCAATAGACTTTTAAAGGTCAAAACACCAATTTACATTTCAAATGTCAGACACCTAGGTGTTATGGTAACTACTTTTCATATACATTAAATGATGTCACGTATCTTTCCATTCAATGGTCAATATCTCCCATCTTCTAGTATAAAAGTCCACACATTGTGTCATTCAAAGGTAATGCAATTTTAAACTTTCAAAACTAATATGTTCTCAATCTATTCACTTCATACCCTCCGAATCCAACCTCTTTATACTTGGTGGCTCACTTTTTCAGCACGTCCCACACCCCTTCACTTATACTGTTATACATGTACTGATTTAACTGTTCGAGTGCACGCAGTCTCCTCCCCCCACTTCGGTGAAGGCCATGTGTGACTATGATTTGTTCAAGTCTGCAAGACTAAAGGTGCATGTGGACACGATAGGAACCAAAATTTGTTGGTCACATCATCCCTACAAAAATTGAGGTCAATAGTTTTCACTCCTCGTTGTTTGATTATCGAATGGGACTTTTTTTTTTTTTAATCGTAAGCGTGGTTGATGGTTACAAATTGACTTATTTAATTCATTATTGATTGTTAATGGATAAATCAACCTCGGTTATAAATAATATAAATATTGAACATAAAAATACTTCAGTTATTATTTATTTATTTTTAAATAAAATTGACCTTTTAAATTATAATTTCAAAATTTAATATAGTACTTGTTTGAATTGCAATATAATCGCAATATAGTTTAAAAGTAAAAGTCAAACTTTAAAATTAATCCCACATTTCGCATAACTATCCAGGTATTCACACTCATTTCTACAATGTTATTATTTCAATAATATATATATATATATACACACTAGGTGCAAGCAACGTGCAATACACGTTTGCCTAATTTATATTTAATAGTTTTATTTAAGAATTAATTTGTTATTAATAAAGATGTAATTCTTTTGGTTAATTAAATAATTAATGATGTAATGTTTATGTAATTGATAAATAATCAGATGTGTGATTTTGATGTTATGATGTAAGTTGGTTAGATCGAAGAAAATAAGCAAAAGTTGACAAATTTGGAGAAAGGGCTAAATTGTAAGGGATCCAAAGTTCGGGGACTAAAAATGCAAATACTTAAAAGTTGTGCCGAACTCCACGATGAAGATTTGATAGTGCTC